AGCAAAGAAGGTGCCTACATATTGGTTAAGGGAATGATTCAACAGGAAAAGATAACAATTGTAAATAAATATTCACTGAAGACTGGTTTACCCAGCCTCACAAAGCAAGCACTAGTGGATATAAAGGATAAGATAATACATCAGAACAATTATAGTGCAGGACCTCAGTGCTCCACTGTCTCAAATAGACAGGCCAACTAGACAAAAAATCATCCAGCAAATACCAGAGTTGAACCACAGTTTTGAACAAATTGACTTAATAGATATCTGCAGTGTTCCACCCAACAACTCCATAATATACATTTTTCTCAGCAGCACACAGAATTTTCTCCAAAAGAAACCACATATTGGCCTAGAAAGCATACTTAAATAAATTAAAAAGAATCAGAATTATCCTATGCATATTATCAGATCATAATGCAATGAAACTAGAAAAAATGGCAAAATAAACAGAGGTACTCATGTAAACACTTAGAGATCTAACAATATCCTCTCAAATAATCAATAGGTCACAGAAAAAATCAAGAAATTAAACAGTTCTTTGACTCAAACAATAATGCCAGCACCAGGACCTATGGGACACAATCAAAACAGTTCTACAAGGGAAGTTTACAACTGTGAATGTCTACTTCAGATAAACAGAGAGAGCTCAAATAAATAACTTAAAGATGCACCTCAAGATCCTAGAAAAATATGAATCCAAAGCTATTAGAAGGAAGAAAATGATAAAAGTCAGAGCAGAAATTAATAAAATTAACAATTAAAATACATAGAATTAATTAACAGCCATTTCTTTGAAGGAATAAGCAAAATAGACAACAGACCTTTAGCCAAACTTACCACAAGAAAGAAAAGGCCAACATCAATGCAGTTAAAAATATAAAAAGTGAAATATAAAAAGTGGTAAAAAGTGCAATTTATGCCCCAGAATGGGCACTGCTAAAACCCAAGAGATCATTTGTAACTTCATAGTAATACATGTGGCTCACTTTTACCTTTGAGTTCTCATTTTAGAACTTTGCCATCAAAATAATTGAACAACTTCTTTGCAATATAAGAAGGGTTTTGATTATTCCACAATCTCATTACAAAGTATTGTAAAGATTTGGAGTGATCATGAGTTCCATTCCCAGTACCACTAATCATCACCGTTATCACTACCACCACCACCCTAAAGCAATGTGTAAAAGCACCCAAGTAGTCAATAACTTGGCTATATGATTCAATAAGCTAAAAATGAATAAACAAGTAAAGCACCTACTGTCTACCTCTGGATGCCCCAAGCACCCTCTAACTTCACAGGACCTTCTAGTCTCTCTCAACACTAGAAATGATAGGTGGCCTGAGGAAGACTGCCAAAGCAAATTTTAGAAAACCTGGATGCCCTTCTTACATTCAAGTTCAAAACTAAGCATTCTTAAATACAGTGGCACCTTGATTCATGAACTTTTTTGTGAACACTTTGGTTCACAAATAGAAGCAATTGGCAAAATTTTGTTTTTTATTTGCAAACTCTGTATTGGGTGACAAACACAACTGTGTTTTCCTTTCCTGCACACAAAAACATGGTCATCTTTTCCAGAATTGTGGGACAAATTAACTTTGTGAACTGAGGTACAACTGTATTCTCATATTTTATTTCATACCTCTAGGGGGTATATTATGCCCTGCCACTGAACTTGATGATACCATAGTCTTTTTTAGTCACAGACTCCTCTGATTTCAGAGGAGTGTGCATAAAGGGCTGGAGGTTCAGTGGTCTCTTGTGGAAGGCATGCAGTGGACATAGATGGCAATCTTTGCTTCAAAAACATAGAAGTCCAGAAATTTGAGTAGGAACACACATTGAGATTTGCAAAGTGCCAAATAAAGACATCTCTGAACCCCTCTGCATCCACAAGTCTGTCTAGTAGTAGCATATTTCAGATAGTATGCAGAAGAACCAAACTCAAGCTATCTGCTTAGGTTTAGCAGCAATCACATACTTCCAATAGCATGACTTGACATTTCTACCATGATGAGGTAGCAGTTGCCATCTTTCTTTGTGGTTAAAATGTGGCTTATTTCCAAGTCTAGTCATCCCTTTTCAATGAATGACCCTACATCTTAATCTGTTCCTGTAGCCAATCTCTAATGCAAAGCAGAACTTGAGATATTCACCCAATCTTCCATATCAATGAAATACCAGAGCTTCTGTCTAAAGCCCTGAACATAGACTGGCTCATCAAGTTTCTTCATAAATTAGTAGAAACAAAAATCTTACACATTTCATTCCATATTAATGGTTTCCTATTCTTTTAAAATATTTTTATCATTATATGTTTTCAATATATTATGATACATTCATTGTGCATGAATGATTACATTCATTCATATGTCATATATATAACATCTCTTGATCCTCTTCCCATTTGCTTACTGGCTGTCCTATTTCTATAATCATCAATGAAAATGAAAATCAATGTAGCTAGGTATTTTTGTGCCAATCTAGATCAACCTGGTCAAAAAATATTGGTCAATATAAGCAAAAAATATTGGGCAATTATTGCATTTTATGCAAAGTCCCAGCAACTGGAAATATAGCAAAGATCAGGTAAATCACTATTTTAATAGAATTTATATTCTATTGAGGTAACCAGATATACAAAATGATGGGAAGATGGATATGGGTGGATGGATGGATGAATGGATAGATATTAGGTACTGCTAAACACTATGTTGAAAAATAAAGCAAGGTAATTGGGTAGAGTAACGAAGTCCTAATTTAGACATATGTGAAAATCTTGGTATTTGAGCTAAGACTGAGCAATAGAATTGTTCAGAAATGACCCATGATTTTAGTTATTGCTGTCAATAATAACAGTATCACTTTGTATACATAGTTTTAACAATAATGGCTGGTGATATATTCATTTTACAAAAGAGCAAACGAGACAGATAAGTTAAAGGTTTTAAAAATCAAAATTACAGTCCAGTGTGGCAGTGCAAGCCTATATTCCAAGCTACTTGAGAGGCTCAGGCAGGAGATCACCAGTTCAAAGTCAGCTTGGATAACTTAGCAAGACCATCTCAAAATTGAAAAATTAAAAGGGTGGCATATGTAGCTCAATTGTAGAGTGCTTTTCTAATATGGGTAAAGCCCTGGGTTCAACCCCTAGTACCATAAAAAAAGATCAAGATTTCTAGTAAAAGGCAGAGGCAGGATTCCAATCCAGGTTTTCCTGAATCCGGGTCCATGTTAGTATAATAAACTATGCTGTGTCTACTTTTATTAAGTTCCCTTGCATGTGTAATTATGCACAACTACCAATGAACTATCTTTCTTCCTTCAGTTCCAGTATCCTGCCCTGTCTTCACCTTCAGGTCCCCTCGAGCCCAGGCCGTGGTTGGGGACATAGTGGAGCTTCACTGTGAGGCCCAGAGAGGCTCTCCCCCGATCCTGTACCGGTTTTATCATGAAAATGTCGCTCTGGGGAACAGCTCAGCACCCTCGGGAGGAGGAGCATCCTTCAACCTGTCGTTGAACACAGAGCATGCTGGGAACTACTCCTGTGACGCTGACAATGGGCTGGGAGCCCAGCACAGTGAGATGATGACCCTCAGTGTCATAGGTGGGTTAATGAGTGGTACCGAGACTAAAGCCATAGTGATGATCAGTAAAATATTTCTCCAAAAGACAACACAAATTCTATCAATGTCGAATAATTTCTCAACCTGTCTGCAAGATCTGGGGCTTCTTGAGATTGGTAGTGATTTCCTGGAGGAAAAGATAGGAAACAAATTTTAATCTTAGGTGCTGGTAACCATTCTTTATGTGTCATTGTTTTTGACATTGCGAGTTACATGGAGGGTAACTAAAATGAAACCAGAGCCTGGAAAATACCTGCTCTGATAGATTTCTGGCCATCACATGCATGGTTTTTGTCTTGATCCAAAGTCTTTGTCATTGGAACTCAAATATAGCTCTTCCTACTCAGGAATTTCTTGGAATAGGGTTGGTCCTGTCACTGGAGGAGTCATTGGAGGGTTGCTTGGCCTTGTGGTTACTGCTGGTTTGCTGTATCACTTCAGGATTCAGAAGAAATCAGGTGGGTGTCTATGTCTTTTGTGCCTGCTATAAGAAGTTTGAGTTGAGTGTTGCATCTTATAAAAGTCCATTATTCCTTTCTATGTAGTAGACCCTGGATTTTAATACTCATTACCTACAGGCAACAGTAACAAAAAAGTAGAAAAAAGTTTTTAGTGAGAGTGTTGTTCGCAATTCCACTTCCATGCCAAAGCCTACTGAAAACAAAAAAAGGATGAAAAACAGAGTTTTCCATTTGTAACAAAAAGTAGGTAATGGCCATAGATATAAACCATAAACTGTGATGTACTTGAATAGCAATCAAATATAATGAAATCTGGGTAAAATACTGAGAGTAAGATTAAAACTTCAACTTTAGATTGCTTGTTACTAGTATATCAGTTTATAATTGCTTTTTGTATATTACTCATATACGCTAAAACCTCACTAAACACACTGCTTAGTTCCAGTAACTGCTTTGTAAATTTTGTCAGTTTCTACATGGATGATCATATTGTCTGCTAATAAAGACAATTTTATTCTGTACTTTCTGATCTTGATTGTTTTTCTTTTTCTTACTTTATTGCACCGGCTAGAATCTTCTGTACAGTACTGAGTAGAATTGGTGAGAACAAATATCATTGTTTTGCCCTAGATCTCAGGGTGAAAGTATTCAGTATTTCATTGTTAAGTATTATGTTAACTGTGAAGTTTTATTTTTATTTTTTATTTATTTATTTATTTATTTTTTGTCTTTTTGAGACAGGGTCTCGCTATGCAGTTCAGACTGGCCTTGAGCTCACTTTGTAGCCCAGTCTGGTCTTGAACTCACAACAATCCTCCTGCCTCAGCCTCCTGAGTGCTGGGATTACAGGCATGTGCCACAAAACCTGGCAACTGTGAAGTTTTCACAGATACATTTCATCTGGCTAAAAGTTTGTATTCCTCATTTACTGAGAGGTTTTACAGAAATATGTGTTAATCAAGTTATTTTTCTACATTGATGAAGATAATCATGTGGCTTTTTTTCTTAGTCTATTGACAGGGTGAACTTTGAAGGTTGAAACTACTTTGATTGCTTTCTTTGCTGTGCAGAATCTTCTTAGTTTCATATAATTCTATTTGTCTACTTTTGTTTTTCTTATTTGTAATTTTAGCTCTTGTCCAAAAAATATGTTCATTTCAATGTCTTGGAGTATTTCCCTCAAGTTTTCTTCTAGTGTTTTCATAGTTTTAGGTCTTATATTTAGACCCTTCATCCACTTTGAGTGAGTTTTTAATCTGGTGAGAGATAGGGACAAATTTCATTTTTTTTTGCATATGTATACCCATTTTCTCCAGTATGATTTCTTGGAGACTGTTCATTCTCCATTATATATTCTTGTTCATTTTGTAAGAAATCATTTGGCTATAAAATATGGATTTATTCTTGGATTCTCTGTTCTATTAGTCTGGTTTTATGCCAGTACTGTGCTGCTGTGTGTGACTACTATAACTTTGTAGTATATCTTGAAAACAGGTGTTAAGATACCTTAAACTGTGTTCTTTTTTGCTCAAGATTGCTTTGGATATGCTGGGTCTTTTGTGATTCCATACGAATTTTGTGACTTTTTCCTAGTTTTATAAAAAGCATCACTGACATTTTAATGAGGACTAAATTGAATCTGAAAATTGCTTTGAGAGTTATGGATAGGTTAACAATATTTTCTACCAGTTCATGCTATGCGTTCTTTTTCTAGTGTGTGTCTTCTGTAATTTCTTTCATTGGTATCTTATTATTTTCATTGTAGAAACCATTCACATCCTTGGTTAAATATATTCCTAGGTATTTTTTATTTTTTGTGGCAATTGTAAACGGGATTTCTTTTTTTATTTCCTTTAACAACTATTGCACTGTTGGTATGTAAAGTACTACTGCTTTTTTATATATTGACTGATAATTGTACTCTTCAATTGTACCATTTTTTAGTCAGTTACAGCAGTCTTTTGGTAGATTGGATCAGTCTTTCTCTTTAGATTTAATAATGTTTGTCTTCAATTGAGTGCTCCAGCATTGGAGAATATATATCTATTTTCTTTTATGTTCCTAAAGCTACTTTTGCTCCATTTTTTCCATTTGAATGAGTATCTTTGCCTACCTGCCACTTTTGGTCTTTGTGTGTCTTTACTGGTAAAATGAATGTGTTGTGGGTAATATATGGCTGAGTTTTGCTTTTCATTTCTTTTCTTAATTTTTATTCTTGAGTCTTGCTTTATTCTTTCTCCTCTTCATTTTTATAATTTTATCATTTCATGAGTGTTAAATATATGTAGTAACAGAATATGTATACTTTTAGGACTGGTTGTTTCACTCAGTATAATTCTGTGGAGAGTCATCTATGTTGTTTTAGGTATCAATAGTTCATTTTCTATTGCAGAGTAGTATTCTATAGTATGAATATACCAAGACTTTGTTTTAGCAATCATTCATTGAAGAACATCTAGGTTGTTTATAGTGTGGAGCTATTATGAGTAAAATTGGTATGAGTAAGTATATACAGATGATTCTATTAACAGAAAGCATCACTTCTCGGAGATAAATGTCCAGAAGTATTATTGCTTGCTCATATGATAGCTGCATTTTTAGTTTTATAAGAAATTACAAAGAGTAAGATGAATATACTGAAGTCCTAATCTTTGCAAGCTGTAGGACTTGTTTCAGATTTCTGACCTCCAGAATGGTAAGATAATATATTTGGGTTGTTTTAAGCCATATATGGTACTTTGTTAAGAGCAGCAAGAGGAAACTAGTACCCTGCTAAACTTTTTGTTCCAGGGTGTCCCTGAGCCCAATGGTGAGTGTTACTGTAAATATCCAATGTTTCCAGAGTACCCATACCATTTTAAATTCTTAATAATGCATGATTTCCTTTCTGCACAAGCTTGCCAGCCTTTACTATTTGTTCCTTTTAAAAAACCATTCTGATAGGTATCATTGTGGCATCAATTTGCATTTCCATTATGGCTAGTGATGTTGAACATATTTTCTTGTTTTTTTTTACCTTTTGGTGAAATATCTTCCAAGTTTCTGTTCACTTTCTAGTTAGAATATATTTGTTTCTTTGTTGTTTTTATTGTTTATTACTAATTATTAGTTGTGCATTATCTTATAGTTTATTGCCACTTAATATTGCTTACTGCTCTTTTTATTACTGTGCTTTTGAGAGTTTTTATAGATATACTAGTCCTATGCTGGACATGTGATTTTCCAGTGTTTTCTCTTGTTTTGTAGTTTCTCTTTCCTTTCAATAATAGGTTCCTTGAAGAATAATTTTTTTAGAATTTCAATAACACCCAATTACTTTTTACTTTTATGAACTATGCTTCAGTGTCAAGTTAAAGGATTCTATTTAGCCCTGAATCCTGAAGGTTCTCTCTGTTTTTTCTTTTTCTAGTTTTATAATTTGCATTTTGTGCTTAAGTCTCTGAATCTTTTTGAGTTAATTTTTGTATAGAGTATGAGGTTCAGGTCAATTTATTTTTTTGCCTGTGGATATCCAATTGCTCCCCCCAAATTTATTGAATAGAATGTCCTTTCTCCATCAAATTACTTTTGCATCTTTCTCAACAGTCAGCTGGCCATATTTGCATAGGGCCTACTTTGGGGTTCTTTAACGTGTTCAATAGATCACTTAGTCAGGCGTGATGGCTCATGCCTGTAATCCCAGCACTTGGGACGCTGAGGTAAGAGGATCAGTGCGAGTTCGAGGCCTGTCTCAGCTACAGAGTGAGTTCAAAACTAGCCTTAAATGCATAGTCAAACACAGTCTCAAAAAGCAAAAAAAGCTCTCTGTCTTTCTACCAGTGTTACATAGTCTTGTTTGCTGTAGCTATTGATTAGGTTTTAATACCAGGAAGGACAATCCTTTCATGTTCTTCTGCACTTTAAAGATATTTTTGAGCATTGTATAGTTTGCTCCTTTATAAAAACTTTAGCATCAATTTGTCTATGACTATAAAACTCCTTGTGGGGAGTTTGATAGATGTTGTACTGAAACTGCAGATTAATTTTGGGAGAAGTGACATGTTTTACAACATAGCTTGTGTCTCTATGTATTTATATTTTCTTTAGTTCCTTTCACTAGCATTTAAAAATTTTCAGCAAACAGATCCTGTACATGTTTTGTTAGATTTTTACCTGAATAGTTCATTTTCCTGGTGTAATTTAAATGTGCATTTACTATGTGTTCATTTTTAATCTTCAGAAATAAAATTATTTGTGAAAGTACTTTGCATTCTATAAGCTTGCTGAACTCAGTTATTAGCACTACTCTTGTCTATACATTTTAAAGAATTTTCTGCTAGACAATCATGTCATTTATTTCCTATTGTCCAAAGTTCTTTTTCTTTTCCCTCCCTTTCTTCTTTCCTTGTTCTTCTTTCTCTCTTTCTTTCCTTTTCTTTCTTTCTTTCTTTCCTTTTCTTTCTTTCTTTCTTTCTTTCTTTCTTTCTTTCTTTCTTTCTTTCTTTCTTTCTTCCTTCTTTCTCTATTTGGCCACTCTTTTTTTATTGAAAATTTTAACTCATTTTTATTGAAAGTTACTGTTTATAAGAACTTACTTCTATCATTTCGTTAGTTGTTTTCTTTTTTATTCTTTCTGCTTCTCTTATTATTTACTTTATAGTTTGTGGGTTTCTGAAGTAATGAGGTTTGACTCTTCTCTTTTTCATTGGTGTGTCTTCTTTGCCAGTGAATTTCATTCTTTAATGATGGCAGTTAGTGTCTGTTCACTGCCTCAAGCATTTCTTAAAAGACCAGTCTAGAGATGATGAATTACTTGTGTTTGCTTGTATGAAAAAGACTATTTCTGAAGGACAGCTTTGCTGTGTTTAGGATGCTTGGTTGGCAGATTTTTAAAAATTTCCCCCCCAGGACTTGGAATGTATCATTTCATTATCTTCTAGCTTGTAAAATTTCTACTGAGAAGTTTGTTAGTACTTGATACGGATTTTTTCATGTGCAGTTTAATGGTTTTCTCTTGT